GGATCAGCCGGTCAAAGTAGTGGAGGAGGCTGTGTGTGGAACTGAAGACATCCTTCACTCTGAGACTGTTCAAGTAGCTTAAATAATGCTAAAAAAAAATGGAGAAAACCCAGCTTTAACGATACAGACGTTCAAACACAGTTTGTGTTTATAATTACTGTCTATTTTCTTACCGAGAAAGGTTGGTCAGCACCTGCAGCCATGAAATGCTGCATGGCCAGAAAGCTGCAGCAACACTGATACTACCTGTGCAGAATTTCTGGATAAAACTGGACAATTTCTTGGGCAAAACTGGTTGTTGTCCCTAACAGTTGGTGTCCCATAGGCCAAGATCTGGCAGTCAGAACGATCCCACCCAGTTTGAGATCTCTGCATAGGCAGAATCACAAAAGTAGAATCCCTGCATTTATGTGTAATGTGAAAGGGGAAATGGAGGCACAACTCCCACTGTGTCTGCACTCAAGATACTTAGAAACATCAGCACTGCTTCCAAATGCTGTGCAGACAGAAAGGAAATGTTAAAATTGTGTTTTCTTTTTGGCTTTGAGACCCAGGCAGGGCAATTCCTTTATGTGAGACAAGATAACATTGGAGAGGACTTATGGAGTTGTGAAGTCCAGCCCAGGACTATGGCAGCCCTTTCAAGGATACATGTCCAAACAGGAGCAAAAAATCCTGTCTGCTTCAGCCCAGGGAGGAAGAGTTAGAAAGGAAAGCAGGAAAGAGTTGACTGGGAACTCATGGAATTTGCTCAAGAACAAGCTGTTCAGGAACAAGGCAAGTGCTCACAGCACAGGTCTGGAAACAACCCTCAGTGGGAATTGTCTGGGTTTTCTGTATAAATTATTATTAAGCACAGATATTGCACTTAATATTGATTTTTAAACTGTGGGAATATGAGGCCTGAAATTCCTTAGAAAATGTGGGAAAGAGAAGTAAGTTTTAGGTTTAGTTAAACAAGAGTGCACTCAGTCCCACCAAAATTAAGAGGCTTATATCTGTGCATGAAGCCAGACATGCAGGGAAGCTTAATTAAGGTTTCTGTGCCTTCAGGAGTTTCAGTCTGAATTACTAAACATTTACATGCAACTTGCTCACATTTTTATCATCTGCTTATATTTCAATAGAGAATAAATTGCTCCCAAATAATCCCAGCCTAGAGATAAGAAATCCCTTTACAACCATTTTGGATAAAGAAAATGGTACTTACTGCTTCAGCAATGTCTGGATTAAATTTTAACAAGTTGTTCAATTCTTTTTGTAAAGATGCTGGAGTAAGAGCCTTTGTCTCATCATTCTTTAATAAAGAAGCCTGGAATAAAATTTGAAAAGTAAGATACGTAACTCCATCAAGAGGGTTATAAATGCATTGTGATACAGGACTGTCAGGTTGTTATCTGCTTGGAGAGAACATTAAAGGAGCTTTTGTAACAGCTCTGTCTACTGTGACACTGAAACATCAGTGTCAGTTTTATTCTGTATTAAATTATAGTGTTCACTTTCCAGAGATCAGAGAGACCAAGTCACACAAAAGCTTTTTCAAAGGACTGTTTAAAGGTACTTAAAAGAATTCTGGTGAAATTTCCCCTTGAATAATTAACACAACATATTTCTCACTGGAATTACATGTATCTTCTCACAAAAAAAAATTCAGGAAAATAAATACAACTGAATTCAGAGTTTGCTTTGGCAAGTAGTTCAATTAATAAAAAAATTGCAATAATCCAGTAACTAGAATAAGCATTACTGAATACTGATTTCCTGACATTTGTGCCCATGTGTATTTCTGCTCCATTTTGTATTTACCAGCTGGAATAATCAACAAAACTGCACATTTCACAGACATCAGATCTGAGGCGAGCAGGGAGAGCGGAAGGACCTTCCCAGAACCAAATATCAGCATATGGTGATGTCTAGATAAAACACTCTGAGCCCCAAGTGCTCACACTGAGCAACAACATGCAAGATATCAACAAATCTTTTACAGATTTAACATCGTGTCTGACACTGTGGATAAAAGTCAAGGTGAAATTCATGTTATGGAACATTTACCCCACTTTATTCAGAATTAATATACCTGCTGAGACAGAAAATACTCTGCTTGCTTCTGGGAAAGAGGACCACTGCAGGATATCTCTTCTTCCCTGGTAAGAAACGCTCTGGTTACAAACAGGGGCGAGGAAATAGAATAAGGAAAATACACTTTATCAGATACTCCACAGTTTTTGCTTTATAAAGTTTTATGAGATATTAAAGCTCAAAGCAGGACTGAAAACTGAGAAAACTTAACGAAGAGTAAAATTTACTGCATCAAAGCCAGCAATCCAAATGATTTCACACAGTTTAATTGTAATCTTCAACCTGCAGAAACCATAGTAGACAGGAACTTTATCCTAAATACACCCTAAAAAACCCTAAAGGAAAAGAGAGAGAGATGATTTGGGGTTGGCACATTCAACTGAATTTGCCCTGTTTTTCCTTTCTTCTGCAGATTGTCCCAGTGAAATGAAGTGGCACTTTGGCCACACGCATCACTCCAGAAAACAGCTGTTCTGCCAGAAGTTTATCCCATGGGAAAACAGTAAGTAGAGCACCCAGTCAGACCCCAAAGCTGCTGTCTGACTGCTGCTGCAGCAACTCCTGCACAAGCACAGGTTTATACAAAGACAGTTTAGAAAGTACATTTTAAATGTATGGATACAGAAAATACTTTTAGGATTATTCTTATACTTCTTTAGCAGGTGAAAACTCTCAATATTTGCTTCTTTTTGAGGTAAAGAGAGTGAGTTCTTTTATTAGGAGAGGGGTGGAGAGGAAAGCCAAAAACATTAAGCTCAACTTCTCCTTACTGAGCAAGCTTTCCTAGCTGGAAGTGACCCTCCAACAGCTTCAGCACATGACAACCAGGGGAGTCAAGCAGCAGTGGGGAAATTGTGGGCAGCAACTGCCCTTCAGCCCGTGATTCCTCAAGTGAGGATGAGGCACTGCCACCTTCCATGAGCCACTGACAACAGCTACCACATGGTGGCACTAAGAAGTAGCCACACACCTCAGCCCGGGTTTAGGAGGCTTTAAAAAAATCCAGGATTGATTTCTTTAGGAGGCAGAAAAGGTTTTAGTGTGAATATATCACCTTAATGGTCCGTCGAGTTCTTCCTTCTCCATTTTCCCATCCAGCTCCTCTGGATTTGTGAGTTCCATGTCACTCTCATCAGCTCCACTCTTCTTCTCATCCCTTTGGAAGTACTGCTGAAGGGCTGTGTAAAGTTTATAGACCTGGCTGAAAGAGAGTTTGTTGTATGCCAGGATCATGTGGCGCAGGAACAGACCTGGAAAGGGAAACACCATGACCGAGAGCTTAAACCACATCGTTTCATTTCTCATTTAACAGAAATTAATGAGAAATTTCATAGAAATTAATGAGCCTCATCACAGCCTACCAAGTGATAAAACTCATTTTTTCCAAGGTGTAAATCTGGTCTTAATTTTGGTGCAAATCTCACAAATTATCTGATCACAGAAAAATTGTTAAAATCAGTAACAGCCTGACAATATGCAAAATTATTGTTAAAGATGAAACACCTGAGCAAGAGAAAAATCTTACACCTCCCCAAAAAGAAAAGCAAAGCTGTATTCTGACGAAACTACAGCAACTATAGTGATATCACAGCAAAAATAATTTATGGATAGCAATTATTTACCTACTACACTTGTTTTATGAACTTCTGGCTCTGTTCCTGTAAATGAGTCTGAAAGGTCATCAAAAAACTGCTCCATATCTTTCAGTTCTCCTTCTACCATAAGTTTTAACCTAAACAGGGAGAGAGAACAGCATTTTTTTTTAGGGTATTCATATAGACATCAAATAAAATACTCTCCTGTTTCAGGCATAAATGAGTAAACACAGACAGAACCAAGTGGTAACTCATTCACTGGGGCCAGAAGGTTTTTATACTCGTGAGACAAATATTCAATAATAATAGTGATAATTATAAAAATAATGATGATTATAATAATAAGTAATTTTTCCCTTTTAAAATAGCTATTTTAATAAAAATAATAATTAGAAAATATGGCTACTGTAACAGAACAAATAGGAACCCAAAATTTTTTAAATTTTTTTTAATTTTAAAAATTTAAAACCTTTGATCAGATTTTTGGAACTGTTGCTGCTTCAGCGAGTTATGTGTGAGAACAGACCTCCTGTACCATAGCAACTTTAAACCTGGTGCCTTCCACGTCTGGTTTGTACCTTTCAGAATCTGCTGATGAGACGTAAGAGAAGTGCAGGAGCACAGTTTTGCCCCCAAAGCGTGACTTTTAAAACTGGACGTTTGCACGTTTCGGAGCAGTTTTTCGGTGTCAGGGCCGACACGGACAGAGCGGAGGATGTTCCAAACGCGGCCCCGGCACTCTCCCCGCCAACGCCCGGCCCCCGCCCGAGGCGGTTTCCGCACTTGATGTGGGACGGCTGCGAGCTGCGGGCAGCACTCCTCGAGGCGCGCGGCAGCCGCGAACAGCGCCATGTCGGACCCTGCGGAGCACAGCGACATTGTCGCGACAACAGGGCCACGACACCACGGCTCCCCCCCACGCTCCCTTCCGCCCCAGGCCCGCCCGACCTGCAGCAGCTGCAGCAGGTCATTTGCGGTTGAGGCGGCGGCGCTCCAGGCAGGCCGAGCTGGCGCGCCGGCGCGGCCAGCTCGCTGAGGAGCACGAGCAGGGCCATCTTGTGCGGGGTGGACCCAGTCGCGGACGCCGAACACGTTCGCTGTTGCACGGACGCGTTGCTTCAGATGGGGTTGAAGTACAGGCTCTCGTGCACGCTCGCCTGCGGCGCGGGGGACCGCGGGGTCCGGGCGCCACCGCCCCGTCGCCCGGAGACGCGCGCGCCCCGCCCCGCCGCCCAATCGCGCCGCCGCTGCCGGCGCGCGCGCGACCGCCGTGGCCAATTCGGAGGGGCGAAGGGGAGGGGAGGAATGGGGGGAGCTGTGCGACGGCACCGGGGGGACGGTCCGGCGCTCTGAGCGCGGGAGAGACGTTCCGGGGAGAGAAGTGGCCGGGGAGAGAAGGCCTCGAGGCGTCGCCCTGGGGCTCCTTCCCCAGGGCTGCCCCGGGCTGTGGGGAGCCATGGGACGGGCTCTGAAGAGCTCTGGGACGGGCTGTGGAGAGGTATGGCCACAGGCTGTGGGGAGCCGTGACCACGGGCTGTGGAGAGCAGTGGCCATGGGCTGTGAGGAGCCGTGGCCATGGGCTGTGAGGAGCCGTGGCCGTGGGCTGTGGGGAACCGTGGCCATGGGCTGTGGGGTGGCCACAGCCCATCAGGAGTGACTGTGCACTGGAACAGGCTGCCTGGAGAGGGTGTGGAGGGGAGTGTCCTTGCAGAGAACGACTTGGGGGTGATGGGTGATGGAAGACTCAATGTGAGCTGGCAGTGAGCAACTGAATCCTGGGATACAACAAGTGGATGTGGCACTTTGCAATATGGCTGAGTTTACAAGGTGGTGAAAAGTCACAGGTTGGACTTGATGATCTTTGAGGTCTTTTCCAGCTGTAATGACTCAGTGATTCTGTGACTACCAGAGATGGCCACACTTGTACCAGGTGAGGCAGAGGTGACCACAGGCAGTGGCTTGGTGGGGCTACTGCCAATTTTAGGAGCTCTCTAAACACAGACACAGAGTCTGAGTTTAGAACAGAAACATTGTTTGTTCTACACAGGGTGCAAGATGGAGTTTTCCAGAAATCAAGCGCCCCAAGGAGTAAAAAGTTACATCTTTTATACAGTAAAATTTACATGAACCTGCCTCTCCAATACATATTCTCTCTGCTCTGACAGGAGTGTTTCCATGTTACAGATGGAGAACACCACGGAGTGAATTCACCCCTGTTTGGATTTGCAAGTTAATTGTGATGCAACAAAGACGTTTCCACACGTAAGTTTTTATTTTCTCAATAAGTTGTTTAAAGTACTTCATTAAGGCATTGTATTCCCAAAGAAAATACTCCAATTATTATAATAGTTCTCATTTTTGTAAGTGAGAGCAAAACAAAACTCAATGTTATTATACATCTGCATGTCCCCGGGGATTTCGTTGCTCTGCTCCTGATTCATGCCTGGGGGTGGTGAGAGGGGGAGGAGGAGGCAAATCAAGCGGGGAGTAATTTTCTAGAATACATTTACATTTAAGAAACTTAACATTGTAGTTAGTTGCTGCTGGCGTAATTAATGATCGTTTCCCAGCCCTCAATGAACTCATTGAACTATGTCTGAATATGAAACCAGGGAAGTAACTCCAGCTATTATGTTACAAAGGTCAATTTGCTGACATTTCCTGAAAATAAAGCACGATGGCTTTGGGTGGAAACACGGAACTGGTGGCGTGGCTGGGCAAGGAGGGGAGGGAGATGAGATAAAGGCTGGCCTGCAGCAGCTTGTGCAGAGCTGGGAGGAGAAAGGAAATGGCAAACATCTGGTTCTGATGTTTCTGTGCAAGGCTCTGAAGCTGAAGTGTGAACTCTGCTGACAATCCTTCAGTGCGTGGTACAAAGAACACTCAAAATACACTTTTAAAGTCTATTTAAATGAGCTCAAACGCCTAAAAACCAGCCCTCCAAATTCCAAATAAGCAATGAGAGATGATGTTGGTTACATTAAATTCAAGATTAGGTAACAGAGTTGAAAAAGTCATCTTTTATCTTACCTAAAATAGCCCCTGAGTAACATCCCTGAGCTCCTCAAGCAGGAAATGGCCTCTGTCTGGGATTGGGGATCCTTCCATTTCTGTGCTGAACCTGTTGAACCAAGTCTCTGCAGCCTGAAAACCTTGTCACAGGTAGTTGCACAGTGCTGTGTGTCTCTGGTAGAAAAAGTGAATATCATAATGACAAAGTGAAAACTATAATGAGAAAGCCAGTTGTATCCTGGGTTGCATCCAAAGGAGTGTGGCCAGCAGGTCGAGGGGGGGATTCTGCCTCTCTGCTCTGCTCCTGTGAGGCACCACCTGCAGTGCTGTGTCCAGCAGCGAGGCCAGAGGAGGCCACCAAGGTGATCAGAGGGCTGGAGCAGCTCTGCTGGGAGGAAAGGCTGAGGGAATTGGGATTGTTCAGCCTGAAGAAGAGAAGGCTCTGGAGTGACCTAATTGTGGCCTTCCAGTACCTGAAGGGAGCTACAAGAAAGATGAAGAGAGACTTTTGACAAGACCTGGAGTGACAGGACAAAGGGGAATGACTTCAGACTGACAGAGAGTTTGGTTAGATTAGATGTTAGGAAAAAATCTTCCCTGTGAGGGTGGGGAGGCCCTGGCAAAGATTGCCCAGAAAAGCTGTGGCTGCCCCATCCCTGGAAGTCTTCAAGGCCAGGTTGGACGGGGCTTGGAGCAACCTGGGATAGTGGAAGGTGTCCCATCCACTAGAGGGGTTTGGAACTAAATGGTCTTTAAGGTCCCTTCCAACCCAAACCATTCTGTGATTCTGTGACTCCTCTTGTGGGCGTTAACATCCAACCTGAAATTAAGTTTGTCTTTTTTAACTTTACTCTAAAATTTTGCAGATTGTTAAATTAAGCCCAAATTAACATTCCTGGGAGGAATCCCTTCTGCACCTCTCTCTCTGGTGATGTGTAAAACCACGGGGGATTACGGAGCTGCAGCGAGGCACCGCCACTTGTTACTTGGTGACAGAAGTAAGTGGGACATCTTGCAGTAATAGATTGAAATCTTTTAATGCTGCTTTGGCACGACCCAGAAGGCTCAGTGAGGGCAAGTCTTTTATTAATAGAACCTCTCCAAGTGCTCCTTTTCACCCACGGAGTAGCCGGCGGAGTCAAAGATCCTCGTTTAAAGACCACCGACGTGGTTACAATTTAGGCAAAAGCAGTAAAAGTGATCTCAAATCACATGTTAAGAATATGATTCATCAAGATCTGCCCAAATTAAGGCAGGAGTGGCAGGTGCAGCTGCCAGCACAGTCACCAGATCTCAGCTCTGTCAGGCCCACGTTACTCCCTAAAACATCTGTGCTTGGGAGGATTGTTTTTTGGCAAGTCCTTAACAGACAGAAAGGGAAAATGTTGGGGTTTGCTTGGTTTGGATCATCTGTGGGGCAGCTTTTACCCTGTTACAGTGACTGCATGGAGCTCTTATGCTTTAATGTAAGATTATTAACAAAAATATGTGTATAGTTTGGCAGTTCAAGGCGAATCCGAATAGACAGAGTTTAGATGACACAGAAGTTTTTAAAACCAAACTCCACTGATATTTCTGAAGGTGTCTTCAAGCAATCTCTTGCATGAGAAATGTGGGGAGTGTGCCATATCTTGTTCCAACATTGTATTCACAAGGCTTTTCTATTTTTTCAGTTGCTTTGACTAAAATTGCAAGCTATTATTGGAAAAAAATGACATTTTTATTAAGCCATGTGTGAAAGTTCAGAGCACATCTAAAGCTTGTTGAGGAGCATAAGGATTTCCAAAAAAAGGTGACCTGATTTTGAAATAAAACATGGTGTCAGTGCAAATCCAGAAGTTGGACTGTGTGAGGTACCTGCTCCTACTCCTAAAGCTGCCAGGACTGTGTCCTTCACGTGGCAATTACACACTGATTTTTTTTGACTCAGTTCTTGTATCTGACTTGCTCCAAAAATAGATCCTTTCTGCAGAAATCAGCAGACTGTATCCAACTCTTTGTAGGGGTAAATTTGATTTGTGGGCCATTTTTATTTTCAGCCACTTTTGTCTGTTCCTCTTTTTGGCAAAGGCCTGCCTTGCTCTTGGCCCTGTATGTTCTTATGTAAAGCTTTCCCAAAGCCTTGGTGGGGTTTGTACTGCTGGGGTTTCTTTAATGTAATCTTCTGGTTAAAAGCTTTTTGTTCCTACAGCCTATGGTTATTATTTTTATATATATCCCATTCACAGCCTAGGGAAAAAAAATAATGGCATCTAGAAGCTCACTGGAAGTGGATTTTTGAATAATAAACCTTCTTTTCTCGTATTTAAAGATTATCACCAAAGGGCTTGGTAGAATAAAACTGAAAGAGGTGGATTTAGGTTAGATGTTGAGAGGAAGTTCCTTACTCAGAGGGTGGGGAGGCCCTGGCACAGGTTGCCCAGAGAGGCTGTGGCTGCCCCATCCCTGGAAGTGTCCAAGGCCAGGTTGGACAGGGCTTGGAGCAACTGTGATATAGGGGAAGGTCATTAGGATTGGAAGGAACATCTGGATGTCATCCAGTCCAACCCCCCTGCCAAGGAAGGGTCACCTGGAGCAGGTGACACAGGAACATGTCCAAGTGGGTTTGGAATGTCTCCAGAGAGGGAGAATCCGCGCCCTCCCTGGGCAGCTCCAGGGTTCTGCCACCGTCCATGGAAAGAAGTTCTTCCTCATGTTGAGGTGGAACTTGTGTTTCAGTTTATGACCATTGCTCCTCATCCTGTCACTGGGCACCACTGGAAAGGGTTTGGCACCATCCTCTGACACCCCTTGGAGGTATTTATATGGATTGCTGGGATCCCCCCTCAGCCTTCTCCAGACTAACCAGGCCCAGCTTCCCCAGTCTCTCCTCCTAAGGGAGATGCTCCAGTCCCTTCAGCATCTCTGTGGCCTCTGCTGGACCCTTTCCAGCAGAAACTTGTCTCATCCTGAGGAGCCCAGAACTGGACACAGCACTCCAGGAG